GGCACCGGGACCTTCAGTATTTGGTGAGATGTCGTCCCAGAGGTGTGAATAGGCACCGGGACCTTCAGTACTTGGTGAGATGTCGTCCCAGAGGTGTGAATAGGCACCGGACCTTCAGTACTTGGTGAGAGTGCATAGGCACTGGGACCTTCAGTACTTGGTGAGATGTCGTCCCAGAGGTGTGAATTCAGTACTTGGTGAGATGTCAGAGGTGTGCCACTGGGACCTTCAGTACTTGGTGAGATGTCGTCCCAGAGGTGTGAATAGGCACCGGGGACCTTCAGTACTTGGTGAGATGTGTCCCAGAGGTGTGATAGGCACTGGGACCTTCAGTACTTGGTGAGATGTCGTCCCAGAGGTGTAGAATAGGCACCGGGACCTTCAGTACTTGGTGAGATGATGTCCCAGTCACTGGACCCAGAGGTGAGATGTCGTCCCAGAGGTGTGAATAGGCACCGGGACCTTCAGTACTTGGTGAGATGTCGTCCCAGAGGTGTGCATAGGCTTTGGTGAGATGTCGTCCCAGAGGTGTGCACTAGGCACTGGGACCTTCAGTACTTGGTGAGATGTCGTCCCAGAGGTGTGCATAGGCACTGGGACCTTCAGTACTTGGTGAGATGTCGTCCCAGAGGCACTGGGACCTTCAGTAAGATGTTGTCCCAGAGGTGTGCATAGGCACTGGGACCACACACTGATTCCACATGCTTGTTTTACAGCAGTGACTGAAAGTATTGAAGTCCAGCATAGTGACAAATCTAATACAATTCTACAAGTTGCAGTCATGCATGTGTGTGTTAATGTGCACTGCATTAGGATAGTCAGTTCACTACAGTCCTGGACATGCAGCATGTTGCTAACCCAGCTCACCACAACACACAGAAAGCGGACATCCGTGTGCGGAGTTGCTGTAACATACAACTGCCTTGTGCTACACTGCCTAGGTGCTTTGTAGTGCCATTCAAAGAAAATGTCCATGGACAGCAGCACTGTGCTTCATGTGTTGCAGCAAAACAATTGTTACTGCATCCCACTAGTGTGAACAGGTCCCGAAAAGGTACTGAAGCATTTGGATCAGCATGACAGCCAGAAAATTAGTATTTCAGAAGGGAAGGTTAGCTATGGAAGCTTTACAGGTTACTGTCAACAGACAGATTTGCAAGAGAAATGTCAACACAAAAAAGGGAACAGTACTGAAAAGCAGTGTCCTCTAAAAAGCAGAATTTTGCAGTCCACAGGACTTGGGAGGAATGGGCAATGCATAATTCAGGGTGCATTTCATCCTGCTGCTTCACAGAAATCAAGTTTATTCACAAAGCTACAACAATGGCAAAAACACAAGAGCACACAAATGTCAAGCAATAAAAAAAGGAGGAAAATTTTTAAAGTGTTACTAAAACCCACAACAGTAAAATCAGTCTGTATATGCAGTAAAGCATGCTTGTTATAATCACTGTGGAACCTAAGGGGTTAATCCTTTGCATTGTGTAAAAGATGTTTGATCCTGTCTTCTCTGACCCTCCCCTTCCACTGTCCCCAATATATGTTCTGGTAGAACAGAGGCTCAGAGGCAAGCAGCACATGCTCAGTTCGGTGTGTATTGCTAGAGAGGTTTTTTTTTTTTCTTTGGGAGAGTGCATGTGATCAGCACAGGGCCGATCTTCGCTGTCCAAACAGAGGTCAGGGGTTCTGCATCTTCCTTGAGCAGAAAGAAAACTCCTACAAGCTTTAACCAGTGCTCAGCTGGACACTGATAGAAGTCACAAGACTGCTCATGAGAAAAGGTATTTAGTAGTTTATATTTACTAAAATAATTGCACTTCCATGATTGTGTACAGTGGGAGACCAGATATAGTGAACTGCTCTCCTAAAACTCACAAACTACTTATTAACCGCTAAGACCAATGGTCACTATTCCATACTCTTACTCTTGGACCTCTCCGCTGCCTTTGACACAGTTGACCACCCCCTCCTCCTCAAAAAAACTCTATGCACTTGGTCTCCATGACTGTACTCTCCGTTGGTTTGATTCTTACCTATCTCACTGCACCTTCAGTGTCACTTACAACTCTACTTCATCCTCTCCTACTCCTCTTACTGTCAGGGGTCCCCCAGAGGTTCTGTCCATGGACCTCTCCTATTCTCGATCTACACTTCTTCCTTGGGTCAGCTGATAGCTTCCCATGGTTTCCAATACATTTCTATGCTGATGACACACAGATCTATCTCTCTACTCCTCACCTCACCCAATCAATTTCTTCACACATCACCGATTTACTAACAGACATAGACTGGATGTCACTGCATTTCCTAAAACTCAATCTATCCAAAACTGAGATCATAATATTTCCTTCCCCTCGTGCCTCTGCCCCTGATTTCTAGGACAGGATCAATAGCGCCACTATCAACCCATGCCTGCACGCCAGAGTGCTAGGGGTAACCCTGGATTCTGAACTATCCTTTCAGGCCCACATCCATTCCCTGTCCAAATCATGCTGCCTCAACCTCCGCAACATCTCCAGAATACGCCCCTTTTTAACCAATGATACCACAAAGCTCCTAATTCACTCCCTGGTTATCTCTCGCCTTGACTACTGCAACTCCCTCCTCTTTGTTTTATCTTACATAGCCTATCCCCCCTCCAGTCCATCATGAATACTGCTGCCAGGCTCATCCACCTTACCAACTGTTCAGTGTCTGCTACCCCTCTCTGCCAATCCCTCCACTGACTTCCACTCACCCAACGAATAAAATTCAAAATACTAACAACAACTTACAGAGCCATCCACAACTCTGTCCCCAGCTACATCACCAACCTGGTCTCAAAATATCAACCAAAGTACTCTCTTTGATCCTCCCAAGACCTTCTGCTGCCTAGTTCCCGTGTCACCTCCTCCCATGCTCACCTCCAGGACTTCTCCCGAGCTTCTCTCATCCTATGGAACTCCCTACCCCAATCTGTCCGGCCATCTCCTAATCTATCTACCTTTAGAGGATCCCTGAAAACCTTTCTCTTTAAAGAAGCCCATCTTGCTTTTAGCTAGTAAACGGCCATTTATTTCCTCCATCAGCTCATCCGCCCACAACTATTACCTTTTTTTGTATCACTCAACCCTTCCTCCTAAATTGTAAGCTCCAACGAGCAGGGCCCTCTGTTTCCTCCTGTATCAAATTGCATTGTAACTATAATGTCTGCCTTCATTTTGTAAAGAGCTAAGCAAACTGTTGGCACTATATAAATCCTGTATAATAATAAGGGACACAGAGTGCAAGCTGTATTAAGCAGGAGGGCTAGGCAATGCATTTGGAAGGATTTCCCTCTCAAGTTTGACAAAGAGATTACACAGTGGTGGCAATAGCTGTCTCTGGGCAGCACCTCCAAGCACAAGGGATGCAAGCTATATTAAGGAAGGAGAATAGACAATGGGTTTCAAAGAAATTCCTTCTTTGTCATGCACCAAGAGATCACAAGGTGGTGGTGATCTAAGTATCTCGGTCTCTCTAGGCCAGCCTTTCTCAACCACAACCAGGGTGCCTTGAGGTTTCTTCAAGGGTGCCTTGTCAAAATGTCTAAAATTTGCATAAAAACTTGTATACAAGCCTGCCTTTTAGTTACACAAAGCGACAGGTTTTCATTGTGCACCATTACCACCTTCTAGCTGTCGGCATCCTGACAATCAATGACATCATCAGTTGATAAGGAGGATGTCAGCTGCCTGCACAGCATCCTAGTTTGACCCTCCCTGCCCTTCTCCATCAGTGCTGGGGTCACATTAGCTAAGTGATGGAGAAAAACTGAGGGAGAAGAGAAACACTGGAATACTACTTGGTGTGCAAAAGTGCATTTGCTTTGGAAGAATAAATCACCTCTAATGTTGGGTGTCCTACATGTGTGGATGTTGCTGTGTTATATAAACCTATTAGAAACGTTTTTCACATTTTAGAATGGGGTGCCTCCAGACTGTCCATAATTTTAAAGGGTGCCTTGACTGAACAAGGTTTGAGAAACACTGCTCTAGGCAAAACGTTTTAAGGGAATTCCCTCTTTGTCAAGCACCAACAGACCACAAGGTGGTGGTGATAAAGGTATCTCGGTCTCTCTAGGCAACATGTTTTAAGGAAATTCCCTCTTTGTCAAGCACAGAGAGATCACAAGATGGTGGTGATAACGGTGTCCCGGAGGAAGCTCTAAGGACATCAGAGGCAAGCTGTATCAAGGACTAGGCAATGCATTTAGAGGGATTTCCCTCTTCTCAAGCCTGACAGACAGATTGCATGGTGGTGGCAATAGCTATACCAGGGCAGCAGCTCCAAGGACACAAGATGCAAGCTGCATCGAAGAGGGGGACTATGCAATGCGTTTCAAGGGATTTCCCTCTTTGTGAAGTTTCACAGAGAGATCACAAGGTGGTGGTGATAACGGTCTCTCTGTGGCACCTCTAAGGACATTGGAGGCAAGCTGTATCAAGGAGGGGGACTAGGTAATGCGTTTTGAAGGATTTACACATCCACCAGCTATTGCCACCTCCTTCTTTAGCTTGACAATGTGAGAAAAAAAAAACCTCTAGATGCAATCCATAGTCCCTCTCCTTAATTCAGCTTGAACCATGGGTCCATGGGAGAGAGAGACCGCTATTGCAGCCACCTTCGAATCTATGGAGACATCCTGTGTGGGAAAACTGACAGCTGCAAACCTCAGCCCTGCTACTGGCCATATCGTGTGGGTTGCATCTGACAGCTGGGAAGTTAGAAGAGGCCACTTTGTTTTAACACTTAATAAATAGAACTCCTCTGTGTACTGTTTGTGTGATTTTTGTACCTTTTCAATGCTTTTCATCTAAAAAGAAATAAAATGAAATCCTGGCATAGACACCAGAACTAACTATCCACTCACGTCGTGTTTCTGAGCCAATACACCAGTGGAGTAAAATCCAGCTTGCTTTACCTATAAAAATAAATGAACTCAAAATTGCAAGGTAATGAAGAAATATGAGAACTCTTACCCCAAGGTACTTGTCACCCAGGCACAACTGAGGAGGAAGTGCATTGGGGTTGCCACATTTCTCTCTCATTTCTGTTCGTAAATTGTTGTCCACGGCTATATCCACTGTTGAATAGGGTTGTCCACAAGTGTCCAAAACCCGAACCATTTCCAGCTGTTTAGACTTTGTCTAGAAGTTAAATAAGAAATGTTATTGGTAGCTCACTGTGGGGTTACCATCTATGAGAAGCAATCAGATTAGCAAGCCTTGTGAATTGGCAAATTGCACAATGTTTGTTGACCTAAAAATACATGTTCAGATCTGTCAAAACAACAAATCAGGAATCACCATTGGCTAGGTTTCCAAATGTCATGATTCTCTGCATATCTTCCATGAAATATTCATGGACTTGATTGTATTTAGTGAACCTCCAAATATCCAAACATCACTTTTGTACTGGGAAGGCAGACTAGGTTTAATGTGTATGTAAAGCCCAAACTGTTTGTTTTGTGCAAAGTAGTGGAGGGTTAGAACCCTGTCAGTATATCTTCAGCTTTCTGTATTCAACTGGGGAGATTCCCCCTCATTTCCTGTCCTGGAGACAAAAACAGGAATTGTTATAAAAACTAAAAATTAAAAAAAAAAAAAAAAAAAAAAAAAACGGCTTTAGATACACTATAACCACCTCCCTACTGCCATATTGTAAAAAAAAAAAAAAAAGTGGGGTGGTGGATGTCCGTCTATTTCTTAAGTGCTGTTTAACCATCATTACAGACAATGCACAGGAAGCCAGTGCGCCCAATAATCACCGCAAGCTTAGCCATCAGCAGACAGCTCAGATCACAAGACACCTTTCAAAGCCAATCTGAGCAGTTCTGTACCATGTGATCACTGTGATGATCATCAGGCTTTCGTCAAGCTTCAAGCAATGATGAAGCGTGCTACCAGTTTGTTTAAAGTGGCAATCAGCACTCCCATTAGGATGTGTGTTCAAGATTTACAAACTGGAACTGAATGGTACTTTAAAAGCTTACTAAGAGCTCTGGAAATGCTTTATCAGAGCTTGCTGTTCACACTGTTCTTATACAAGCTGAAGCATGTGTGAAACCAGACCATTTGCATTTAAATCTGTGCGCCTGCACACATGTCAAATTTTGACATGCGACTGTATCTGTGCAACCACTGTGTCTGCATCCCCTTCTATGGGCTGCTTGCACACAGCTCCGAGGTGGATGCACACGCTGCAAAAAGCAGCTCAGCATGGAGGATGGGTCTCAGTGCCCATCTAAGTGTATCCTTAAAAAAGAAAGTAAGAAAAACTATTTTTGTTCAAAATTTTTGATCTTTATTCCTATCTGCAGTAAAAAAAAAAAAACCAAAAACAAAAAAACACCTATTATAAACATTATTAAAAACTGCCAAAAAAAAAAAGAAGCTCTGTCTCAAAATAATAAAAAATTAAATTGGGTACAGTGTTGTAAGACCGAGAAACTGTATCATTATGCTGAAATGTAAAAAAAATGATGTGGCAATGAAAGGGTGTTAACAGGCCGGTACTCAAACAGAAGAGGAAATGGCTGGGGAAAGTATGACAGAGCAAATATTGAATAAGGATGTCACCATTATAACTGCAGACGACAAACATAAAAAAGGGAAAGATGTGTCACCGCAAAATGGGGAAGTAAAAATATTAGAAGAAAATGCATATTGAGGGGAGTTTACTGGACCAGCTGTGCATGGCAACCAATCAGCTTCTAGTTTTCATTTTCAAAGCTTAATATACCTATAACAACTTGATAAAAAATAATGTTCTTTGGCAAGGAACATATATTCCACATTAATAATTATGCTTCCAAAATTAGTGTGTGCTGTAAATTGCCTCCAGCATTGCTCATGTTTCTTCTTGCTGGAGGCTGTCATTTTGTTGAAGCCCAGAGCCCCTGAACAGCAGTAAATCTTTAACACTTTCCCACCCAGCCATCAATCTGCTATAGGCCACTCCTCGTTGTGACAAGGCATCATATGATGTCCTGTCAAAAGGAGCTGCTCACATGGCCGTGGGGCTTGCTCAATCTGTCATCGGCTGTGGCCATAGGACACAGCCGATAACATATCACTACACCGGCCTGTTGCTAGTGTCATGTGACTGCTGTGACCAATCACAGCAGATCACATGTCAATTGTATACAAAGGATGGCTTCCTGTCAGACCATCCATTGTATACAATTGTGTTGTTAGCTGTGATTGGTCAAAGCAGTCACATTGTACAGACACGGCCAATCACAGCCCATCTGTATCATGTAATGAGTTTTGCCCAATTACAGCTAATCACAACAAAAGACTGAATGAATCTGTTTCATTCAGTAACAATGATTGCAAATATTAACTAGTTGCCGACCGCAGATAGCCGAATGACAGCTGCACTGCAGCCGGCCAGTTCTGGGTGGACATCATATGACGTCCTCCCAGAACGCGCTCTCCTGGGGCGCGCACCCCGGGCGATCTCCGTGATCGCTGTGTCCTACAGACACAGCTGATCATGTGATGTGGTAAAAGACCAATCACAGCGGCCTTTTACCACGTGATCAGCGGTGTCCAATGACACGCTGATCACAGGGAAATGCAAGTACCGGTTCTCGGCTGCACTTTCCTCACGCTGTCAGATTGTGAGGAAAGTACTGCCGAGAACCGGCAGTTGTCAGAGCGAGGATCGGCACCGATCATCAGGGCACTGATGATCAGTGCCCTGATGATCGGTGGCCAGCAGTGCCACCCGCAAGTTCTGCCCACCTGTGCCCAGCAGTGCGCCCACTAGCTCCGCCCACCTGTGCCCAGCAGATCACCCACCTGTGCCCAGCAGTGCACCCACCTGTGCCACTCTGCAGTGTCACACACCTGTGGCCCAGAAGTGCCCAGAGAAGTGCCACCTACCTGTGCCCAGCAGTGCCACCCACCTGTGCCCACCCACCAGTGCTGCCAGTCAGTGCCACCAGTCAGTGCCCAGCGGTTGTGCCAGTCAGTGCCGCCAGTCAGTGATGCCAGTCAGTGCCATCTATCAGTACCCATCATCAGTGTCACCTATCAGTGCCGCCTATAAGTGCTGCATATTAGTGCCGCCTATCCGTGACACCTCATTAGTGCTGTCTATCAGTGCCGCCTATCCGTTCCACCTTATTAGTGCTGCCTATCAGTGCCCTTTAGTGCTGCCTATCAGTGCCGCCTATCAGTGCCCATCAGTGCTGCCTCATCAACGCACATCAGTGAAGGAGAAAAATTACCTGTTTGAAAAATTTTATAATAGAAACAAAGAAACTTTTTTTTGTTTTCAAATTTTTTGCAATTTTTTTTATTTATAGCGCAAAAAGTAAAGCGCCCAGTGGTGATTAAATACCACCAAAAGAAAGCTCTATTTGTGAGAAAAAAATGATCAAAATTTTATATGGGTACAATGTTGCATGACCGCGCAATTGTCAATCAAAGTGCGGCAGCGCTGAAAGCTGAAAATTGGCCTGGTAAGGAAGGGGGTATAAGTGCCTGGTAGGCAAGTGGTTAATGAAATACATTGGTATTAGCAATCATAATGTGTAAAAAAAAAAAAAAAATCCTGATCACTTGCCCAGAATAGTTCAGTGTTACTATGGTAACACTGTATTGCTTTGGTCACCGTGTTCTGAAAAAAAAAAAAAAAAAAAAAAGAAAGAATTATGTATTACCCACTTGACCTCCAGAGGATTTACCCCCTTAATGACCAGGCCTCTTTTTGCTACTCGGCGCTGCACTAATTCAACTGATAATTGCGCGGTCATGCAATGCTGTACCCAAATGAAATTTACGTCCTTTTTTTCACACAAATAGAGCTTTCTTTCGGTGTAATTTGATCACCTGTCCGCTTTTTATTTTTCACGCTGTAAACAAAAAAAGGCCAAACATTTTGAAGAAAAACAATATTTTTTACTTTCAGCTATAAAAAATATATAGTAAGCTCAAAGTTGGTTATAAATTTAGGCCAAAATGTATTCTGCTACATGTTTTTGGTAAAAAAAATCCCGATAAGTGTATATTGATTGCTTTTTGTGAAAGTTATAGAGTCTACAAACTATGGTATACATACTGCAATTTAGGACATTGTTTTGCTATACAGCGCTGCGCTAGTTTAACGGACAATTGTGCAGTCATGCAATACGGTACATAAATGAAATTTACATCTTTTTTCCCCCAACAAATTGAGCTTTCTTTCGGTGGTATTTGATCGCCTGTGCGGTTTTTATTTTATTTTCTGTTAAAAAAAAAAAAAAGGCTGACAATTGCCTCGTGCGCGCCCCCTACCTGTTTACAAAACACACATTTTAAAACTTGGCTTTGCCTAGCCGTGCCGCCCTGCCGCCGTATTTATACAGTGGCTGGGCGGCATGTGGTTAAAAATATATACAAAAAAAAAAAAAAAATTAAATGTTAATTTTTTTTTTTTTTTGCATACTGTCACCATTCAGTATCCCTGATCACTGCCACACTTCAACGGAAGTCGCACAATTTCAAAGTTGTACCGGTGTAACTGGGGTGTAACAACTAAAGTCTTATCCAAGTCGCACCCATCCAAAGCTGCATCAAAGTCGCAATGGGAAGCGCAGGACTTTGCAGCACAAGTGTGAATGGAGCCTTACTGAACAAGCTGAAGCTGATTGGTTGCCACGCACAGCTATGCAGTTTTGGTACGATTAGAGATATTAGAGTAGTGTTTGGGGATATCAAATTAAAAAAATAAAAAAGGATCTGTTTATTAATGTTGTCATTTAACTGCTTCCTGTCCAGGGGTGTGCAATATATAATATATATATATAATTTTGCAGTTCCAGGTAGGGGGCGCACGTGCGCTACCCACGCCACTATTCATGGCCTCAGCTGTCAATCACTGGGTCCAGGCTGGTGATTACTCGCCGGGCACCTGGTGATCGAGGAGCTTTACTGACGGGGGGAGAGAACTGTATGTAAACAATACAATATATAAATAAATGTAAACAATACAGTTCTCTCCCCTTTCCCCCATTGGCTCCTGCACACTGCTATGCATGGCTTTGCACAGCACAGCCATACAAAGCAGTGCGCTTACAGTGAAGCACACACACAGCCCACATAGTAAAACAGCACACAGTTAACCCTTTGAGCGCCCCACATGTTAACCCCTTCCTGCCCAGTGCCATTAGTACAGTGTCTGTACTTTTTATTAGCACTGATCACTGTATAGGTGTCACTGCGGATGTCAGTGACACCAAAGCAGTTCCCCCCAGTGTCAGAATGCCCGCCGCAGTCCCGCTAGAAGTTGCTGATCGCCGCCATTACTAGTAAAAATAAAACAAAAAATCCCAGTATATATACCAGTTGTAAACACTATCACTTTCACGTAAACCAATTAGTTTACACATATTGGGATTTTTTTTTTTAGTAAAGACATGTCGCAGAATATTTTGGCCTAAATTTATGGCGAAATTAGATTTTTAATTTTTTTTTTTACTGGATATGTTTAACCAGTTCCCAACTGCGCTATAGTCGAAGGACGGCTACAGCGCGGTTGTGTAATCCTGGGACAACATCCATGGATGTCATTCCAGGACATGCCCCCCTGCGTGTACCCAGCCCAGTGGCCCCGCTGGTGATCACTGTGTCCGACAGACACAGCTGATCACGAAGTACGGTAATTAGCCAATCACGGTGGCCTTTTACCACGTGATCAGCTGTGTCCAATGACACAGCTATCACTGGGTAAATGCAGTTGCTGGTTATCAGCTGCACTTTCCTCACGCTGTTGCCGCGTAAGGAAAGTACTGCTGAGAACTGGCAATTGTCAGCGAAGGGATCGGCACTGATGATCAGTCCCCAGCAGTGCCGCCCACCTTTGCCACCCACCTGTGCCCTGCAGTGCCAGCTGCAGCTCAGCTCAGTCCCCAGCAGTGCCACCAACCTGTGCCAGCTCAACAGTGCCACATATCAGTGCCAGCTCATCAGTGCCCCCCAGTGCCAGCTCAACAGTGCCACCACCCACCTGTGCCAGCTCAACAGTGCCACCTATCAGTGCCAGCTCATCAGTCCCCAGCAGTGCCACCCACCTGTGCCCTGCAGTGCCACCCACCTGTGCCCTGCAGTGCACCTATCAGTGCCAGCTCATCAGACCCCCAGCAGTGCCACCCACCTGTGCCAGCTCAACAGTGCCACCCATATCAGTGCCAGCTCATGCCACCAGCAGTGCCAACCACCTGTGCCAGCTCAACAGTGCCACCTATCAGTGCCAGCTCATCAGTCCCCAGCAGTGCCACCCACCTTTGCCACCCACCATGTGCCCTGCAGTGCCACCCACCTGTGCCCAGGCTCAAAAAATCCAATCCAATGCCAGCAATCATCAGACCCCCAGCAGTGCCACCCACCTGTGCCACCAGCTCATCAGTCCCCAGCAGTGCCACCCACCTGTGCCAGCTCAACAGTGCCAGCTCAACAGTGCCACCTATCAGTGCCAGCTCATCAGTGCCAGCTCATCAGTCCCCAGCAGTGCCACCCACCTGTGCCCAGTGCAGTGCCACCCACCTGTGCCCTGCAGTGCCAGCTCAACAGTGCCACCTATCAGTGCCAGCTCAACAGTGCCACCTCATCAGTCCCCAGCAGTGCCACCCACCTTGCCCTGCCCACCCACCTGTGCCCTGCCCTGCAGTGCCACCCACCTGTGCCAGCTCATCAGTCCCCAGCAGTGCCACCCACCTGTGTGCCCTGCAGTGCCACCCACCTGTGCCCATCAGTGCCAGCTCAACAGTGCCACCTATCAGTGCCAGCTAATCAGTGCCGTCTGTCAGTGCCGCCTCATCAACGCACATCAGTGAAGGAGAAAACTACCTGTTTGCAAAATGTTATAAATCGATTCAAAGAAAAACTTTTTTTTTTTTTCAATTTTTTTGCTCTTTTTTTTGTTTATAAAAAATAAAAAAACCCCCAGCAGCGAGTAAATACCACCAAAAAAAAGCTCTATTTGTGTGAAAAAAAAAATGATACAAATTTCATATGGGTACAATGTTGCATGACCACGCAATTGTCATTCAAAGTGTGACAGCGCTGAAAGCTGAAAATTGGCCTGGGCAGGAGGGGTGTAAGTGCCCTGTAGGCTAGTGGTTAATAGCAAAAAATCCAATATATTGTTTTTTTTTTTTTTAAATTGTCATTCTTTTTTTGTTTATAGTGCAAAAAATAAAAACCGCACAGGCGATCAAATACGACCAAAAGAAAGCTCAATTAGTGGGAAAAAGGACGTAAATTTCATTTGGGTGCAGTGCTGCATGACCGCGCAATTGTCAGTTAAAGTAACACAAAAATTGGCCTGGTCAGGAAGGGGGGTAAAATCCTCTGCAGGGCAAGTAGCATGTGAATCGTGGGTGAAAGTTGGGTGAAACATTTCTAAATAGACCGCTCAGTGTGTGAGGACTTGGATTCAGCAGAGCAGCTTTCCTCTCTCAGTATGATTTCAATGTTGTGTTGTAACACGGAGATTTCACAATTGCTGGCATGCAGAAACAATCAATAGGACCAAGCAGACTGTGTCTAGGTCTGATGATGAAATGAATGACAAGATACAAGCGGGAATCAATCAGCATGGCGTGTCCCCAACAGCCTCAATGGTGACTGGTGACACACTGCTTTGGGTTAGTGAGGGTGGACGACTGCTGGTGGCCCGACAGGAATCATTGTGAGGAGGGATACATGGATGCTGCAACACGACCTGTTGTATCTGCGCACTGACCCCCCCCCCCCCCCCCCCCATGCCGACTATGTGCAGACCACCTCAATCCCGGATACATGTCCCCCCACGGTGCCTCATCCCGCCTCACCTCCCGGGAAACTGGTCACCGATGTCATATACATCTTCAGAACCATCCCGCAAGCGTCTTCTTTTTCTGCCATTTCGATTTCCGACCTCTCCCAGCCACGTGACAGCGCTCTAACCTATCGCGGATCTCTGCGTGACACGTGACTAGCAGCTGTGAACTACACTTCCCAGAGTGCACACCGCGGAGAACTGTTATTTATTAATTTATAAGTCCCGCTGTCTCCGGGGATAAACAGGGCGCTGGTAGTAGCCGCTTAGAGCGGGACATGATAAAACTTTGTTAGCAGTTCTCTGTGTCAGAAGGACTGACAATTCTTTAGCTGACATGGGACTCAATTCAAAGCTAATGAAGCAGGATAAGTAGCCTTGTTTTCTGAACAAACGACAGTTTCTTTCAGTTTAGTTATATGACATTTGGCTGAAAATGGAGAGCTTTGGGCTGCGGTTAACCGCTTGCCTACCAGGCACTTTCACCACCTTCCTGCCAAGGCCGATTTTCAGCTTTCAGTGTTGTCGCACTTTGGCGATTGCGCAGTCATGCAGCACTGTACCCATATGACATTTTTATCATTTTTTGAGACTTAGAGAACTTTCTTTTGGTGGTATTTGATCACCACTGGGTTTTTTTTTTTTTGCTAAACGAAAAAAAAAGACCCCAAATTTTTAAAACATTTTTTTCTTGGTTTTATAAAATTTTGCAAACAGGCCATTTTTCTCGTTCATTGATGGTCACTGATAGGCCGCACTGATGAGGCTACACTGATATGTGGCACTGATAGGCAGCACTGAAGGTCACTGATAGGTGGCACTGATGGATAATGACTGGTGGCTCTGATGGATACTGATAGGCAGCACCGAAGGTCACTGATAGGGGCACTGATGGATAATGACTGGTGGCATTGATGGACACTGGCGGTATTGACGGACACTGGCAGCATTGACGGACACAGATAGGTAGCACTGAAGGTCACTGACAGGCGGCACTGATGGATAATGACTGGTGGCTCTGATGGATACTGATAGGCAGCACCGAAGGTCACTGATAGGGGGCACTGATGGATAATGACTGGTGGCATTGATGGACACGGATAGGTAGCACTGAAGGTCACTGATAGGCGGCACTGATGGATACTGATAGGCAGCATCGAAGGTCACTGATAGGGGGCACTGATGGATAATGACTGGTGGCATTGATGGACACAGATAGGTAGCACTGAAGGTCACTGATAGGCGGCACTGATGGATAATGACTGGTGGCACTGATAAATACTGATAGGCAGCACTGAAGTTCACTGATCGGTGGCGCTGATGGATAATGACTGGTGGCACTGATGGACACTGACTGGCGGCACTGATAGGCAGCACTGATGGATAATGACTGGTGGCACTGATGGACACTGATAGGCAGCACTGAAGGATAATGACTGGCAGCACTGATGGACACTGAGGTCTGCACTGATGGACATTGACTGGCAGCACTGATGGACACTGTATGAGCCACAATGATGTCAGTTGTTGGTGGCCAGGGGTAGGCGGGGTTGTAGGGCAGTTGGAGGAGGTGACTTAAGAAGACAGTTGACACGGAAGGATCCTGGGTTGTCCCTGTGGGTGGCTCTTTGCAACCTGCTACCACAGGGATGTCTGAGCCCAGATGCCTGCAGAGACAAGCCTGTACATCCCACACTACTGCTATTAGGGGCTGGCACACTCATAGAACTACAAGTCCCAGCATGCCCATTGGAGATCATACTTTACAGCTGACTACATTTCAAATGATTTCCCAGAGATGTGTCAGCCACTGCTCAGTGTAACAGACCTAGGAATCCTAGACTGGAAGAACAGGGCTGACCCTAATGCAAGAGTACTCACCTCTACTTCTTAAAGTGATTGTAAAGGTTAATTTTTTATTAAATTAAAAAAGTTGTTATACTTACCTGCTGTGCATTGATATTACAAAAAGCATTAACTTACCTAACCTCCTGGCGTCCTTCCTCAGCGCTCTTCTCTCATTCTTCTTCCAACTTGCAATCCACATATAATATAGTCCATAAGTACACAGATTCACGCATGGAATGAAATAGTATGGAAATAATACAAGCTTTATATAAGAAATGTTTAATAACAGTACATACATCCAATGTACAAATAGGTATTATCAGCGAAAGGGCTAACAAGAACCAGACGGAATTGTGCACATATGCCCAAGTATAGCTATTAACAGAGATACCTCCAGATGAATGTTGCAGCCAGTCCAGTTGCAGGGGCCCCTGAGGACCTGAAGACAATATCAATGGTCATGGGTAGATCCTCCAACTGCTGTCCAACCAGTGGGGAACAAAGCTGCTCACCAATAACTGTGGTATAGCACTGGAACTCAGAGTCAGTCTACTCTTTGCCTTAGTCCCTCCCTAATAATTTCTAATTTGGCATGCGACTGGACCTCAAAGCCTATGATCCCAACAAAGCCTAACCTGGCTGTAATCTATGCTGGTTATCAAGCACTAAGCTAAAACTAGCTACTGAATCCAAGACCAGAATTATTAGGGTTAACTAGAATAACAGGAGCTGCATATCGACTATTTTGCTATAAACAGGTATCCCTACCAATATACTGAAAAGTGCTCACTACACACATACAGTAGCACAGACCTAGCTATCAAGTACTGTGCATGTGAAATAATACCAATGACAGAGCAGAGTCACAAGCACTTAGATATGCACCCTGCAGCTAGACTATTAGATCATAGGAATGCTTGCATAGTAATTCCTTTTTGCTTGGGGTTTAGCAGCACTGACAGGACATGTAGCTGAGACCTTTTCTCTCTCTCTTCCTCCTTCCAGGGTTTCAAAGCCAACAACCCAGAGACAGGAAGTGCGTACAGAATATATTTGCAGGCATTTACATATTCAAACAGTAGAGGGCAGCAGATCCCTACGGATAGTTTCTGTATTTACTGAAAATGTTCTTAGCTTAAAAAAAAAATAAGAAAACTAATGGAGCCACCACATCTAATGACTGCAAGAAGCAAAACAATTACATTGTTATTCTGAGGTTTAGTTATCCTTTAAAGGAAATTCTAAACAATAAACCAACTTTGACCACTTACCCTCCATAGGATTTTACCCTCTTCATGACCAGCTTATTTTTTTTTGCTATTTGCACTGCGCTACTTTAACTGACAATTGCGCGGTCATGCAACACTGTATCCAAATTAAAACTATATAATTTTTTTCACACAAATAGAGCATTCTTTTGGTGGTATTTGATTACCACTGGCTTTTAATTTTTATTATATAAATGAAAAAAGACTGAAAACTCTGCTACAAAACATATCCAGTAAAAAAATAAAAAAATCGAATTTCTTCATAAATTTAGGCCAAAATATATTCTGCTACATATCTTTGGTAAAAAAATCCTAATAAGTGTATATTGATTGATTTGTGCAAAAGTTATACCATTTACAAACATATTGTATATATACTGGAATTTTTATTTATTTATGTATTTATTTTTATACTAGTAATGGTGGTGCTCAGCGACCTATGGCAGGACTGTGATAATATGGCAGGCAATCTGACACTGAGACTTTCAAAACTTTGTGGGAACCAGTGACACTATAACAGTGATCAGTGCTAATAATGTACACTGACATTGTACTAATGACACTGGCTGGGATGGGATTGACATCTAGGGGCAATCAAAGGGTTAACTGTGTGCCTAACAGTGCTTGGTGCATTCACTGTGTGATGTTTTTTCTAACGGATGTGCTGTTTTTTTTTTATTCCTTTGCAGGGAAACAAAAAATGGCACATCCCCACGGACAGGACAGAGCTTTGTGTTGTTTACATTCAAAGAGCTTTTTCATGTCTTCCTCTTCACTGATCAGCAGGTCCTAGCCGGCAATCATTGGCCGAGACCCACTGATCGGCTTGTGCTGTGACTAATCACAGCACAGCCAGGGCGTAGGAGCACAGATCTCCTACCCTAATAATCTGGTGCAGGAGAGTTGCTTTTCATTTGCATGTGAGCAAAGGGGTAGAAGCGTGCTTTTAAAAAAAAAATTTTTTTATATTTTTTTTTACACTTTTCAAATTTTTTTATTCAACTTTATTGCTATCACAAGGTGAACATAACACCTTGTGATAGCTTTGGGCAGTGACAGATACTGTTTATGAGGAGATCAGGGGTCTGTTAGACCCCTAATACCTCATTTGTCTCCTCTGTTTGATCAGCCGCTTCACTGGCTAGAGAAGCACAGCACTGCAACCGCACGTGACAAAATACTCATCCAGTTTCAATCATCACAGAGGAGATCGAGGAACAAATGTACGTCCATCTCCTCTGTGGGCAGTGGACCTGATCACTTACAGAGGCAAGAGGACATATTACAGATACAGATATTACATGCTCTAACATTTCCCCAGGTTCCCACATGGAGGTCAAGTCTTAGGAACAATTTCTTTTACTGAATAAATTGATTAGCAGCAACAGTGGGGGTAGTACTCAACTCCTCCAGGCTAAGAGAAGCTCATGTCCCAAGCTTTGGACAGAATTGATTAGCCTGCTTTCTCTTCTCATCTATGTCCTCCATTGATCTTCTTTGTTCCATAGAGGGGAACCAAGGAAGAAACCAAGTCCACTAAGCATTTTCTCCTCCTCTTTGAGCTCAGTTCTGCTACAGTTGGGTTTTACCTCCTCACAGAAGTCCAACAGGAAAAACCCAGGGATCCTCGCTTTCCTCTTTTTGGATGAAAATACATTTTACATTTTATTTGGAAATCAAGGTCCCAGAGTCTGGAGGAAGAGTGGAGAGGCACAGAATCCAAGCTGCATGAGGTCCAGAGTGAAGTTTCCACAGTCAGTGATTGGGGAGCCATGTCATCCTCTGGTGTTGGTCCACTGTATTTTATCAAGTGCAAAGTCAGCGCAGCCATCTACCAGGAAATTCTGGAGCACTTCATGCTTCCCTCTGCTGACCAGCTTTATGGAGATGCTGGTTTCATTTTCCAGCAAGACGTGGCACCTGCCCACACTGCCATAAGTACCAATACCTGGTTTAATGATCATGGTATCACTGTGCTTGATTGGCCAGCAAACTCGCCTTACCTA